GGATAAATAAAAGACAGGCAAAAAATAAAACCCATTTTATCAAATTTAAAAATTAAATATCTTCCTCCGTAATTCGATCAAACATCAATGACCAGATATATTATTTTAATATAAACTTAAAATTTCATTAACAACTAACCATACAACCTTTTTCAAAATTAACTCTAGTTAACTAAAAAAAAAAAACTCATTTTGAGCAAATATATTTGTATCCAAACAGTTCCTTACCAAGATCATCCCCATTAACATGGCTGTACTCCCGACCATGGCAAAACGTTCCGGATGCCTAATCCTAGTCCAAACCGCAGCACAAGTCCCGCACACGAGCCCACCCAAAACTGTCCCCATGAATAGAACTGCACCTGAACAGTCGTAAGCTATGAGAGCCTCGACACCTGTTGACTGGAACAGTTCCCACGCGTCTTTTGCCGAGTGATTGAAGCTTTTCCCATAGACAGCTATCTGAGTGGAAAACGTACAAACATATTATTATTATTAATATTATTAGAGTGCATGCATTTTGTCATGTAATGTAGGGAATGAGTGTACCTGGACATAAGCATACTTGTTGAACCATCGAACTAAAAACTCAACAAGGTGAAACAGGAAGTCCACACAGCAAAGAAGACATTCGTTGTTGCCGATCTTTGACCTCAGTCCCCTGATCTGTAATCGGTTGAATTGTTAAGGGAAAGGCCTCTGCTCAGAAAAAATAAGTGCGTGCAGCTTTAATGTTTTCATTAGCTGGAAATATTTACAACGTCTCTAGGTAAACTTTTACACTTGAAAAGAAAGTAATTGATTAATTGATTGCATTCACTGAAATTTTTTTGCTCAACAGTTAAAAATTTAGAAAAATAAAATTAAATAAAATCATTTTTTCTTGAGATATCTTCTTTTATTTTTTAGAAAATTTAGAACTTGACATCTAGCTGTAAATATTCCTTCCATCCCTTGAGGCTGGATTTTGTACTTAGGGTTATTCACAAAAGATATCTGAGATTTTGTTTTCTTTTACATTAACCTCCTTGTAAGCAAAAAGAGTCTTCAAAAACCCCTTAACATTCTTTGAAAAAAAAAAAATACTAATTAACCCCTAACTTTTAACACAACAATCAAACTTTAGTGAATCTTCTATTGAGAGTGTGTGGAACCTCAAGGTCAAAGGTATCTTTATATAATTATCCATAACGAATAATAAATCCTATTCTTTTTGACAATTCACCTCCCACCGAAGAGTCCGAATAGCGGCCGTAAAAAGCGAGCCATAGCATATACTGCCGAAGGAAGTGGTTACAGCATAACGCAAGGAGCTCATCACAGGCTTGGGAGGCATTGACTCTGACTCTCGGCCGCCGTGAATAAGGACAAGAAAAACCATTCCCGAGACTATTACGTGGACAACATTACAGAGAACGGCACCCGTCCAGAACAAGCTCACGGACAAAACCTGTCACGCGCAAGGCACAACAATTCGTGGGGTTTTATGTTCTAAAAATGACAAGTGGGTAATAATAGTAACTATGTGGCAAACCCGAGAGATGATTGATGTTGATTAACTGATTAAACCAAAAAAAAAAAACTTGCCAGCTCACCAAAAGAAGCCACCATCGGCCACCATCACCGATCCCTAGAGCTATAACTCCGGCTACGCCAAAAGACCATAGAGCAAGCCATGAAAGCATCACCACCATAAAAATGCATGCTACTCTTGTGACTTCTGGAAGGCTCCACACCATCTTCACAGCTCTTTGGAGAACCAGCATGGTGAATGGAAGCCTATCAAAAAGACGAAGAACGTGAAAAAACTGAAGACAGTCATTAATGCGCACATGACAGGTAGATCTAACATGCGTATGTTCACTTTTGTTTCGAGTAGGACATATTACAACTAGTAGAAGGGGAACAACAGATTATTGTCCATGACATGACTTATTTCCCAGCACGCATTTAACATAATTTTTAGTGAATTATAGCTTATAATTATTCATCATAAGATGACCTAGAGCCGACATTTCATTGCTTCACTCTCATGCACAAATAACAGGTTTCCGTAAAAAAAGAAAAGGGTTCAGCTCTTTGTACATTCATGAAATGAATATAATTTTAAAGCTCTTTGCAAGGTTCTGAGAGAAAAGTTTGGCAGTGCTAAGTTAGAAGTACGAGCGATTTCAGCAGAAAACACAATTGCAACCCTTGACGCTGCCGAATTGCTTAAGTAGTTGTAACTTTCTCATGACTGACATAGAAATAGAAACTGCAACACCAATTGTGATCATAATCAGAATCGAGAATTTCGACCAACAACAAGGATTCTGTCATATTTAATATCTTACAAAAGATGCATCACCTTTTTAAACGTGCTCTGGATTCAAGACATAGATACTAACAACAAGGTCACATTCTTTACCTGTCAATGACCGATATAACATATAAGAATTGCAGAGCAGCACCAATAGCAAAGGCAACTCCCCAGAAAAACTGATGGGTCCAAAAGCATAGCACACTGATTACAGCAAGATATGTAGTCAGAATGTGCACAGAGAACTTCATCATTTGATTTCCACGCGAGCCGAGTAACAATAGCCAAGTCCACCCCAAAACTGCCCCAACCCCACCAGCAACAGCATACAAAGGCCAGTAGTCTTCGGTCAAACCAGCCTTATTCTCAAGGAACCCCATTGTATACCTATCTATGTTCAGCCTATCTGGTTTTCTGAACCTGTTTAGTCCAAAAACACAGAGGGCAAATCCTACCACGACTAAATGAGCTATGAATATCAGTAACCAGAATAGGTCCCGCCACTGTCGAGACACTGCTGGAGAGATTCCTTGGGAAGATGAACGACTCCCCACAACACCCTGAATCCAGCACATGAAAGAGAAAAGTGAATTCTTCTGAAAATAAAGATTCAAATATATTGCAGAACCAATCCACAGTTCCATACTCGGCCATGTTAAGATCACTTATTTTCATACACTCATGCTCTCCCCAAGGAAAAATAAAAAACCCTAAGTTATCCATTCTCCCCAAAATTTTGTTAATTTTGGTTCAATAAAGTGGTGAATCAGAGGTACAACTGCCAAAAGAGTATAATTTACTCATCAATGCCGCATGCTCCTTGTCAAGGACATCGTTAAGCAATCTCGATTATAGGACAAAATCTTATAGAATGAACTGAAGTTCTTCAGAGGATAAATGTGGAAAGATCAGGACAGTAAATGGAGTTTAGAAACACTTCCTGCTGATTTCACCTTTCATTTATAACAAACACAGAGGAGGTGATCAAATTAATGATAATTTCAGAAGGGTAATTGCAAAAGCAAATTCCCTCTTAGCAGAATTTAAGAGAGAAAAAGAAAATCAACCACAAAAAAACTCTAATTTTTTTAACACTCAGGCTGCATTTACCAGTGGCACGTGGAGTTGACAATTAAGAAAATCCTGGCATACAACTCAAAGCATTCAGAAAACCCCCACAAAACGTTGGCATAGGTACCAATCATAAACCTCAAATTGAAGCAAACAAATTAATTTTGACCAGGAAAATATCCCAAGTTCTAACAGTCTAAACACCTGAATTCTATAAATTCGATCAACCACAGACCAATAAAGCAACACATAAACAAGAAACCCACTCCACATAGAGCTTCCAAAATAATACGATACATAAAAGACAACACTCCAACATACATCTCCACACCGAACAATTGACCAAAACGAAAAAATTCAAAGAAAAAACACATTCAAATCCATACTCGCGCAAGCACGACAAAAACTCAAACTCCGTACCGCTTGTGGGGGTCCGATGGCGGAGCCGTAAGAGGATGAAGATGAAGATGAAGAAGAAGAGTGCGAGTCGTCCATCGGGCCACCGCCGCTACCAGAGACTTCGGAGAAAAAACAAAACCGGCCACGGATCGCAAATTTGTCTGCTAGCGGGGCATAGAAAAACCGTTTTTCAGTATGGTTTTGGAGAATCGGCAGCCATGGGAGAGTCTGCGGAACTTCAAATGCGAGAAAACGGAAAATTTGGGGGAAGCAAATGGGGAGGAAATTCACAAACGGCTATATATCTACTCGTTTTTTATTTTTATTTTTTTTATTTGAAAAAAAGTATAAAAAAAAAAATGTGAGTGTGTGTGTATATATAGGAATTAGGAAAAGGGAAAAGGATGGGATTAGTTGTCAGGTACTTGCCAACCTTTCTTTGTGAGGGTTCAATTATGGCTGTTTAGAGGTGTGTCGCCACGAGCCTCTAGGGTGGTGAATGATTATGTATGTCGATTTATATAACCTTTTTATAAAGAGCAAGGGGCAAAAAGTTTAGTTAA